ATGAAAGTGGCACAACCTCATTAGCTTACCAAAAAGTGCTATATCTCTCTTAGTTTTAGTAATTTTAAAAATATTTTAAAAGGAAATCTCAAGAAATTTGTGGTAAACATAGGTATTTACTATTTATATTATTGGTGCAGGGGCCCACAGAGGGGTAGGAGGTAAGAGAGGCAATTTGCCATGGTGACCGAGTGGGCTTATTTCAATATTAATATATTACACTTAAAGTGATTGAAAGAAGAAAATTACGCTATTACGCATGGAATTGCCCCTCTGTAAAAAAGTATTATGCTATTTTATATTACTGTGTGACTATTACGTAAGCTTGAATAAAATATGATTTATACCAGAAAATTTAATTTCATTGATTATATTAGTTGAACACGATATTAAAATTGTTTAAATGCTGTGATTCAATGATATTTTTTACATTATCAAACCTGTGTTAATAAATATTTATGGGTGAATTTGTTGTCAAAAAATTTTTTTAACATCAACTTCGTGATCAGCGACCTCAAAACCCCTATAGAGATGTATTTTTTATAGCAAAGACGCATTATACCAAGTACGCGCCGTAATTTACCGAAAGTTGAAAATTCGAGTTTTTTTCAAAAAATCGCCCCGCTCACCAGAATTGACCAAATTGAGTCCAGTTGCCGCTATCTATACTAGGGTGAGAATTCGTGAAACGGATCACTGTTTTCCCGACTTTGGAAAATACAAAAAACAATTATTGGTTTTTGTAGTACTCATTGATAGTAAAATATTCCCAAATTAAAAAAATATATATAAACAATTATAAAAGTTATTTAAAAAATAGCGTTTTTGACGATTTTTTTTCGAAAATCTCTCATGGAAATAAAGCCTTTTAATAAAATTTTAACTTTATTGAAAAGTCTTTAAAACTTATCAAATTTTCATAAAAAATATATTTAAATTAAAAAAAAAGTTATTTTCATAAAAAAAAATTATTTATAATAAACAATTTGCATTTTTATAATTTCTCAATGCTCTTTTTGAAAATCGTGTTAATTTATATTTTTCTTAAAGTCTTTCCAATGAAAAACTAAAAAAAAAAATTTGGATTCTTAATTAAACGATTAATGACATTTGATTTTGTGAGCCGGCGCGCCTTTTCTGGCCCTGGCGCTCAAGCGCGCTCCCGACGCGACCCGTCCCATTGCGATGCGTACTTTATTATCAATAACTCTGCTATACCTACTATACTATCAAGTACTTGTGATTTAAAAATGATTTTGTAAGGTCATTAAATATATATTATACACAGGGTGTATCACGTTCGATGGTAGGTTAGACGTTTATGGAGAAAGATATCGAATTGAAATTTTTATAGCAATTATACCTAATATCATTTAAACTATTTTAATTATTTTGAACAAAATTACTCTTCCGGTTTTAACAGAAGCGATATCAACTTTGTTATTTTAAATGAATCATCACATTCTTTTTACATTATCATTCCTTAATAGTGTTTGAGTTATTAATTTTTTTTTGTAAAATTCAGTCAGTTTCACCCTCAACAAAAAAGCTTATAACTTTTTTAATATTAGGTTTACTGATATTCGGTTGGATTTATTTGAATCCTGAAGCATTGTTTTAAATATTCCATGTAATTTATTGTAATATTTCTAAAAAGATACTTGATAAAAAACAATGTGAATGTAGCTAACTTAAAACAGCAATAACTTTTTTATTCTCAATGGAACGCCCTGTATATTTTTACATAATTAAATATGAAATTATAATACCTTTTCATTGATTGATTGAACTATTCCTGATACCTAAAGTTAATATTAAGAAAGATATTTTACAATTACCCTAATAATATGAAGAAAAACTAATAAAATGTTGCTCATGTGTATTAATTTGGTATGAATAACAAAACTTTCCCGATATTTATTATTATTAAAATAAAGGAAAATAACTACTCAAAAGAAGTTGATAAAAATATTTACCATAATATTTTTCTTAATGGATAACCAAATTAAAGGTACAACATACAACAAGTTTCTGCATGTTCTAGCAATAAGTTTTTCATATTGTCGATGAAGAATCAAAACTTCATTTAAATAATGATTTTCCTTCATTTTAACTATTTTATTAACAATTTGTATTAATTTAAAACATTATTTTTATTTAATTAATGAATTTTTAACCTTATTAGTAAATAATAATATACTTTTAATGAAGGTACCAGGCTTTCAATCAAACCGTTTATACACATAGCGACATATTTACTTTTTGTTTTGGTGCTTTTATGTACAAACACCGGATTTTTTTTTTTTTAATATATTGTTTTTATTAATATATTATTTTCTTGTCATATGAATGTATACAGTTTTTGAAAACTCATTCGTAGATTCCACTTGTATTGTTTATTAATTTTAAACTAATATTTAAAAACTTGAAATATTAAATAATAGGAATTGTAAAATATCATTGTTATTATTAGGTATTAGGTATAGGGAATAGTTATATTAATGAAAAGGTATTATAATTTTATATTTAATTATGTAAAAATATACAGGGCGTTCCATTGAAAATAAAAAACTTATTGCTGTTTTAATTTACCTACATTCACATTGTTTTTTATCAAGTATCTTTTTGGAAATATTACAATAAATTACATGGAATATTTAAAACAATGCTTCAGGATTCAAATAAATCCAACCGAATATCAGTAAACCTAATATTAAAAAAGTTATAAGCTTTTTTGTTGAGGGTGAAACTGACTGAATTTTACAAAAAAAAATTAATAACTCAAACACTATTAAGGAATGATAATGTAAAAAGAATGTGATGATTCATTTAAAATAACAAAGTTGATATCGCTTCTGTTAAAACCGGAAGAGTAATTTTGTTCAAAATAATTTAGAAAAATAGTTTAAATGATATTATAATTGCTATAAAAATTTCAATTCGATATCTTTTGCCGTTCTCTATAAAGTTCTCCATAAACGTCTAACCTACCATCGAACATGATACACCCTGTGTAAATATATATACGTATAATATATATTTAATGGTCGTACAAAATCATTTTTAAATCACAAGTACTTAATAGTATACTATAGCAGAGTTATTGATAATAAAGTACGCATCGCAATGGGACGGGTCGCGTCGGGAGCGCGCTCGAGCGTCAGGGCCAGAAAAGTCGCGCCGGCTCACAAAATCAAATGTCATTAATCGTTTAATTAAGAATCCAATTTTTTTTTTTAGTTTTTTATTGGAAATATTTTAAGGAAAATATAAATTAATACGATTTTCAAAAAGAGCATTGAGAAAATTATAAAAATGCAAATTGTTTATTATAAATAATTTTTTTTTATGAAAATAATTTTTTTTTTAATTTAATTATATTTTTTATGAAAATTTGATAAGTTTTGAAGAATTTTCAATAAAGGTAAAATTTTATTAAAAGGCGTTATTCCCATGAGAGATTTTCGAAAAAAAATCGTCAAAAACGCTCTTTTTTAAATAACTTTTACAATTGTTTATATATATTTTTTTTAATTTGGGAATATTTTACTATCAATGAGTACTACAAAAACCAATAATTGTTTTTTGTATTTTCCAAAGTCGGGAAAACAGTGATCCGTTTCACGAATTCTCACCCACTATACAGCACCCCTCGGGAAAATGAAAACAACCCTAAAAATTAGAGGGTTGAATCTTGAAAATGACGCGTTTTTCACGATTTTTTCGCATTTAAACCTAAAATTCACATGTTTTTACTTGACCAAAAAATCTGAAAAATTCAGGGGACTACCATACATCCAAAACAGTTTTTTAATTGCGTTTAAACCATTTAAAAATAAATTAAACTGGTTGAAAAAAATAAAAATTACAAAAAATCATATTTTTCGCCATTACTGTGTTTTCGTTTGGGGTTGTAATGTCGGTAAAAAGCTTATACTGCTTGTTTTTCGACCCTCTTCAAGATTTTTGGAACGATTTTACCAGATTCGGTGGGGGCCGCCAGACCCCCCTTAACCTGCTACCCCCTTTATTGAAAGTTTCAATAAATTTCATAAATTTCATGAAATTTCAGACATTTAGGAAATTTTAATAAATTTCATAAATGTCGTGAAAATTTCAAGTGAAATTTCAAGTACAAGCAAAAAGTGAAATTTTCCCAAACCTACTTGGTACTGACTTATTGCACTCGACTGTACATAATCAAGATTATTAAGGTATAAAACTTGTGTTAAAATTTTCAAAATGAAATTTTAAATAGTTTTTAAAATAATTTAATTTTTAACAACAGGGTGGGGCCTTGCTAAAGCCCCAAGGCACTTCAACCTTTAGATCTTTTGTGCCATTTTTAACAGGATTTTAATCATTTAAACCCAATTGAATTAAAAGTTGTACTGACTCAAGACTAATACAATACCACATAAATATGGTGTTTAAATTTCATAAAGATATTTAACTTCATTAGTTTTTTTAAATTTATTTTGGTCACTTTTTTGATATTCTATTCTATGGATGCTTTCAAACTAATTTTTTTTATTTATTATTAACCCAAAGAGCGAGCCTTGTTTGTTTGCTGCATAATATTTGTATTTTAAAAATTATCAAAATTAATTGGTAAGAATCAGTTACGATTTTAATTTCAATAGTTTTTCCATTCTTTTTCACTATTTTTCTAAATATGAAATTGTATTATTGTCATTCTTGTTTAACCTGCATTATACTGGGAAATACTATGTTAAAGACTAAAATTATATCCCCTGTGATAATGAAAAAAATATATTTACCTAGGTAATAAAAATTTTCTTTTTTTTTGAATTATTAATTTTCCTTAAAAACCAATTGTTTTTAGGGACTTGTTTTAAACTTTACTTCAATAAACACAAACAACACTATATTTGACTTTCATGTTCCTTCCCCTTTTATTTTTCTCTTAAAATTGCCCATTCAAATAATGTACAATACAGTTCTACTGCAGTTGGACTATCATCATTTCCAGGGACTGGATATATTATTAGATTAGGATTACAATTGGAATCCACAAACAATTGTTTTAAACTTTATTACAATAAACACAAACAATACTATTTATGACTTTCATGTTCCTTCCTCTTTTCTTTTCCTCTTAAAATTGCCTGTTTAAATAATTTACAATAAAGTTCTACGGCAGTTGGACTATCATCATTTCCAGGGACTGGGTATGTTATTAGGTTAGGATTACAATTGGAATCCACGACTCCTAAAACATAACAAAACAAACATTTTTAAAAGCTAATTTATTGCAGTTTTTTTGGAGTATACATATGGAGTATAAAATAGATCTCGAGATCTTCATGTTTTTTATGTTCGTTTTTGTAAAACCGCAACGCGCCGCCATCACCAATGCTTTTGCTAAAAAAATTTGGCCAATTTATTTTATTTAACTCCCATTTCATTTCTTAACTTTAACTGGTGGGCAAATTTTACTTTGCCCACAGGCTGAAGTTAGCTTTAAGTTAAAATTGGACAGTTGTCAGATGTCAAATAAAATTTCAAATAAAATTTAAATTCATTACGGTAGGTAGTAAAATAAAATATTCTCTATGACTATTAAACTAATTGATCAAAAGAGGAATCTCTTTTCTTCCACTAGTCCACTTTACACATTGGAACTTTTAATATTGTTGTTTCTTGTCATTATTAGGCAATGTTGCCATTTAAAAAAGTAGTATCCCCTGTATCTTTTTAAATAACAAGGCTTGACTTTTTTTAATGGTGTTCTGAAATTTCTGTGGTGTGCGACTTTTGGGATGCAAAGATCTATTCAAACTTGATGCCTAAATTCTAGTCTCCGACTTAAACAATTTTTGATTAACCAAAATCATAATGTTTAAATGGGTCCAAGTTTATTTTTTTTAACATGTTAGTAGGTAGTTAAATAAATTAATTAAAATTAAATTTACCTATAGTAGCAATGGACATCTTTGCAGAATCTCTTATGGCTGTATGTTGGGTTAAAACATTATTTAAAGTATTAAAAAATATACACAAATCAGGTAATCTTGTTATAGCACCAAACTGCTTGTTTGCATTTGTAAAAATTCCACCTCTCCAAAATCTAGTGTGTGCAAATTCTCCACAATCTTTGGCTGTTTTTTCAACAATGTGTGAATTCTGTGATCCTCTATAGAACAGCAAAATTAAACCATCTCTATATGCAACATGAGCTGTTATATTAAGTGCCATTCTTAAGTATTCAGCAGTTTTATCCAAATCAAATATAACATGCCCTAAACGACTACCATATACATAAGGTAACATTCTTTCGTCCAAGGAACCATCTCTGTGACCATAGTGAACTCTTGCATCAAATAAATCTTTTACCGTAAATAAGTTATGAACATTAAAATAATCTGGATGATTAAGGACAGGATCTTCTTTTGTAACTAAAATTAGAGCAAATAATGTTATATGTATATAAATTTAAGTATGTATATGAATGGATTTCCCCTGCGGTTAAAGGCCAATTATGCTTGTAAAACAATCTATTCTTATAACCAACTCAACAAAGGTAATACATAACTAAAACTTAACAACCAATGAACCAAGGTTTAGCCAGGTAGAAGAGTTGGAAGCTCTTCGAACTTTATAAACGCAGAGCCCAGGATAATTTGCACTTTAACCAGTTTTTCCGTAGGTAACATAATAATTTGTTAATTTAAAAACTAACCTTGCTTTTCTTTGGGAGATACAGCTGATAGTTTTCTTAAACAAGTATAAGAACATAATGACTTAACTTGCATTAACTTTGTTGAAATCATTTTAAATTAAAAGTCCTAAATACATCAATTTTTAAGGCTATTCTTCTTCTTCCAAATCTTTAAACAGTTGAAAGTTCAGCAACAGAAGAAGAAGAATGTTTCAGTCAAAGAACAAACCATTCAGTGTTTTAGGTTAATTAAATCAAAATGACAGCTGATTTAATAGTCGATCCTCAAATTCGATTTTGGGTATTTTTACCTATAGTGGTGATAACATTTTTAGTGGGAATACTAAGACATTATATTTCTATTCTTCTAACTACTCAGAAAAAGGTAGAAATACAACAATTGCAAGATAGTCAGATTATATTAAGAGCCAGGCTTTTAAGAGAAAACAGCAAATACATTCCAAAAAGCTCTTTCCTTATTCGTCGATTTGCATTTAACAAAGAGGAAGATGGTTATCTCACACAAAAAAGGCCACCAGTTACTCAAAATATGATGACGGACCCAGCAATGATGAGTGACATGTTAAAGGGAAATCTTACTAATGTTTTACCTATGATTATTGTTGGTGGATGGATTAACTGGGTGTTTTCTGGCTTTATTACAACTAAAGTGCCTTTCCCCCTAACACTTAGATTTAAATCCATGTTACAAAGAGGAATAGAACTATCACACCTCGATGCATCCTGGGTTTGTTGAATTTATCACAAAGTTAAATTTTAATATTAATATAAAATAATTTAGGTTTCATCTGCATCCTGGTATTTCTTAAATGTGTTTGGTTTAAGAAGTATTTATGCTTTAGTCTTGGGGGAAAATAATGCAGCAGATCAAAGTCGACAAATGCAGGACCAAATGTCTGGAGCTGCCATGGCTATGCCTCCAGACCCAAAAGTTGCTTTTAAAGCTGAATGGGAAGCTTTAGAAATAATAGATCATCAGTTTGGTTTAACAGATGCCGAAAATGATGTGGTATCGGCTAATAATTAGAAATTAATAGTTTGTTTTTATTTATTTCATATTTACCAAGCTAGTGCAGCATAGGTGTTTTCAAATTGTCATATACCTCTCAAATGTTTACTATGAATATACTTGGTAATTTTTAATGAAAATATTTTATTTATCTAGGTGTACACAGTAATAAATAGTAGCTTAAAGAATCCCACATACATAATTATTTTTGCACTTTAAGCAACATGGACCAAACAATTCAAAAATATAAATTTTTTATTACAATAGTTAAAGGCTTATGACTTATAATTTGTTCATGCTTATTCCAGAAAGTTTAGCATGGTTTAAAGATCTTCTAAACTGTCAGCTCAAATCGCGAATAACTTTTTCAATATTGCAAAGGAAAAAACTGGGGGTAAACATACAAATTAAGGGCTAAGGAAAAAAATCAAAAGGGTTGCCATACGCAACGCGTCGCTGAAGCCCGGTCCACAATTGTCGCAGTATTTATCTTCTACGGCTTACACCAACCAATCACAGTGCTTAAAATGTCCATATCAAACACTGTAATTGGTTGACGTAAGCGGTAAAAATTAAATTCTGCGATAATTGTAGAACGGGGCTTAAGAGATAGTTCTTTATTTCTTATCAAAAAGGATTCCCATCCTTATCGATAAACGTCGAATAAGAAAAATCTTTTTCGCAAGGAATCGGCCCTTTTTGTTTGGTCCGGTGATTTTGAGAAACCCTCTCTAAGGCCTTATCCAAGTGTTCCTTATAAATAATCCTTAAAGCCGTATTACAGCCGGCAATTCTTCTTGCAGCAATTTTTCTTGCCATCTAGTTTTCAAGGCCGTCTTGCATGTTGTTTTACAGCCGGCAATGGCAAGAAAACTTGCTGTTTATTACCGTGCTACCAACCGAAGAAAAATATACGATTTTGTAAACACTAAGTTTATTTGTTATTTAGTAGAGATATTTAAAAATTAATGAGTGAAATGGATACTAGAACTTTGAACACAATGCCAATCATAAAACAAATAATCTTAAACTGTTTGTCAAACAGCGTCTCTCTAGGGAATTTGTAGTAGGGTTGGTAACATAAAAGTTACCAGATTTCACCCCAGAATTGCCTTAAAACGGCAATAAAAATCCATCCGGACCGATTTTCGGCAATTGCAAGAGATTCGTCAAAATGTATCTACCGCGCATGCCTGTGGCAATTTTCATTGCAATTGCCGAAAGAATTGCCGGCTGTAATACGGCCTTTAAAAAAATCTGAGGCAATCAGGTTCAAGAGAGTCGAAAAGGGGGGGGGTAATTACCCCCCCAAGATAGAAGACCTAAGAAAAAAATTACTAAAAATATAATTTATGAATGAGTGGCATAATAAAAGCTCTATTTTGTCTATTTTATTACTATTACACTAGATGGTGGTAAGATAGATAGTGAAAAAATCGCAATGATTTCGCATCTTGTGGACATCATCTAGAGTGAACGTCCGCCCCCAACATCCTTAGATTAATAATCTCTCGCATCTTGTGCGCATCTTAGATGTACTAAAGTCTAGTTAAATATTGATAAGGTTTTGGATCGTTTTGCAAAAATGAAAAAAAGACAATTATTATTTGAATTTTATATTTAAAAAGATTACCTAGGTACTTAAAAAAGAATATATCTTTATGAGATATTTAGTTTTGGCACCTTATAATCCTTTTCCCCAATATACAAAAGCAAATAATCAATAAGGAGTTTTGCAATAGCTATAACTCAAAACGTTTATTACAACAGCGGTGTCTAGACTTTCACTTGCGTAAATCGTTTGTGACTACTAAGATATTCAACACCGATTTTACATATTTAACCCACCTCTTGTAGGTGCGTTAAAACAACTCCGTATGCGCATTGTAGTGTGTTAATGTCAAATTTGTGTTGTGTTTATAAAAAGATGTTTTATTTACATTTTAAAAAGAACTTCTTACGGGTGTTTAATTAATTTCGACAATTTTTTGATAAAAATGTACACCATTTTGAATTTTGGTATTCTGATTCCAGATTCGTTATCAGCGACCACAAAAACCCCTGTATGGTGATTTTCAATTTATTCCGTCAATTTTTTGACAAATATGTCGGCCATTTTGGATCTACCATTTTGAAATTCCAGATTCGTTATCAGCGACCCCAAAAACCTATACGGATTTTTAGGAGAATCAGACTACTCCTTGATATTTTGCCGAAAATTTCGAGAATTGAAACACTGTGCGTCGGCAAATAATTTTTACTTCAATAATAACTAAAACACATTTAAATGAAAACTATTTAATTGTTGGTATCTTTACATATATTACAATTTACCAATAGGATAAAAATTACATTTAAGAAAAAAGAAACAAGTACAAAACATTTATTAAGGATTATAATTTTAAGGAATTTTATTTAATGTATTTAGAAATGACTATATTTATTTAACAATTGTTGTAAACAACATAAAATAAATCTAAAAAGTAGGTACAATTATATAAAAAATCACCACTCTGCTACTGCAGACTGTCGTACATCCCGATCTTTATCTGCTTGCAGTCTTTTTAAAACAGTTTGTAATCCATCATAATGTTGATTTTTAGGATTGCAAAAATACTCTGAAAAAATAACATACATTTATTAAAACAATTTTTTTCTTGCAAGTAAACTTACCATTTGTTAAAATATAGGTGGATATTATTCTTGCTACAACCAATCTAATATTGGCAACAGGGTCCCAGCTCAAATCAAGCAAATGGGGCATCACTTCTGATGCAAATTTTTCTTCAGGAATAGCTTTTAATGAAAGTAGTTCACAGCACAACAATGCATATGTTTGTCTCCTTTTCCACACCTTGGAATGAGCAAATCTTTCTGCCAGTTTGATTAAAAGATGAGGTGTTAAACCAGGCTCTGATGAAATATGTTTTACTACTTCTATGATCTAGAACAAAATTAATTTAGTATAATATATTTTATAAATTGATAGTAATTTTTGGGGTGGCCCCGCGAATATTTTAAAAATTCTAAATCAAAATAATGGCCCACTTTAGTAGTAATGATTTTTCGAATTTTTACAATGTTTTTTTGTTTAAATACAATTAAATAATAATGTTATTTTGTTAGTAATTTTTTTCAAATTGAGGTTCCAGCAAAATGGTAAAATGTACAGTGAACCTAAAATAATTCAAAAGTCTATTGCAAAAATATTGTAAAAAATGTTAATGTCAGCTGTTTAAATAAAATAAGATTATAAAAATATTAAATTTTCTCGACTCCATGGACATTGATTTACTGTTATTTTAAGCTTATAGCTATGACAAAAAAGTGAACACAAAAAAAAGACGAAAACAAAAACGTGGTGCCAAAAGGCAACAAAAAAAAATTAAATTTAAAAAAAAAAAATCAAAAGAAAAAGAATGACGAAGGTTCTAAATAGTTTATTTGATTTTAAAGTTGGTTAAAAATCAAGAATTAACTGCAAAACTCCAAAAAAACAAAATTATTTGGTATAAATAATTTACAAAAAATGACTTACCAATAAAATGGCCACTTGTCGTACAGCAGCGACTTTATCACAAAGTAAATCTTGAGCAATTCTTCCAATATATTTCGCAGTGTCATTAGCTCTAAATAGTGTAACGGATCGTAGCAATTGATTTCCTAGTTCTTCCCTAAACCTCCAGTTGGACTCATTATCAGTTTGCATAAATTCTTCTAATCTAGGTAAGTAGGTATTTCTTTTCTTAGAATTGATGGACTTTAAAAATTTAGCCAAGTGCTTCAAAACACCTATTCTAACCTCATCTAAATCTTTTATAAAACCATCAAACAATGGAGTTAAATTTTCAGTGGCCACATCTGGTCCCAAAATTAGAGCCAGTTCATGAAGACTACTTGCAACGGTCCTGCGAACTTTATACTGTAAATCTATAGCTAAGCAATCTACTGTCTTTTTAAGAAGATTCCAGTTTTGGTTTCCTAGGGTTACCGCTACAGCCGGTAAAGAGTAGGCACAATGATAAGTCATTTCATTGTCTAATGTTAATGCTAATTTTGGACTAGTCATATAAACAAAATAATCAATAAGTTGTTGAGGAACTATATCTTGCTGTGGTTCTAGTTCGACTTCTTCCTCTTCTTCTTCTTCTTCTGGTTTCTCATTAACTATAAAAGTGTTTTTATTAAAATTTCGCTACACAATTATAGGATTAAATAAAATTATTGAAAAAAATCATAGTCTGCCTTATACAAATGTGTCTTCAATGATAATCGTATTGTATATGATATAATCATTTAAACAGGGAGAAGAAAAGTTTAGTAATAATAAAATCACTTACTTGATACTTGACTTGATTCATCAGGCCAGTTTTCTATTTTGGTATTATCGAGAGAGTCAACAAAACTGTCACTTAAATTTAGTTTGGAATATGCATCTTCTAGGTTTGACTGAAAAAATAAAAAAATGTTACATTAACAATTTTCATGGTTTTAAGATTTATTTATATTATGTAGGTATTTGAAAAAATCAGAAGGACGTAAGAAGTGTACTTCATGTATGTATCAGAAGACCGTCGTCAAATATCATCACATAAAATAGTAATTAAATTAAAGTTTAAAAAAAGATCCCAAACCGCCACGTGGTACGCACGATATTTGGAGGTTACAATTAAAAAATTAATTTATTTGAAAATTTCATTATTACTTTAATAACTAACTAGTAACTTCATATATGTTTGAAGAATATAATCGCAATTAAAATAAATATTCAATCAATTTGAGATAAAAAAAAAGATTCCAATTCCCCACGTGGTATCTAAAGGTTAACATTAATAGTAAGTAATAATATAAATTTAAATATTTATAATAGATAAAATATTACCATTTAAATCCATTTTTCTAATTTCCCACTATAAAAGAAGCTTAAAGAAAATAAAACTTATGTTAAAACTGCTTGATGAAGCAACCTTTGCACATGTTGGTTGATGGGAAAATGAAATAGGAAATATCAGTTAGTTGCCGCCCAGCTTGGGCTGATATCTGAGGAAGTGACGTAATCAAGATGGCGCACAGTAGGCGCTTCCAGCGCGCGTAATTCAAAATAAGTAATTGCTTTATTTAGACCAAATTTAGGGAATTTTGAATTCTTTAATATCTGTAGATAATAAAACAACTTAAAACCACCTTCAAATCTGTTGAATTTTCATAAGGTTACCAGTCAAAGTTTAGGAATTATAATTACTTGCTTCGTGTTGATAAATTGCGCGTAAAGGTATTGCTTCTCTTACAATGTTTATTATTATTTTATTCTTACTTTTTGACTATAATTGTATTAAATACTGTCATACGTAATGGCTGGAACGAATAATGGTAAGTTTTTAATATTATAGTACTGTCACTACTTCAATAAAGTAACTGCTGCATACTTTTAATGTATGCACGGACATCACTAAGGTGCTAGTAGGCGCAACAAATATGTTTTGTTTATTTTTTTTACTTAATACATTATCCCTAACTCATTTTAGTTTGAAGCATTTCAATATAAAGTTAGTTTTAAACTACTTAGTAGATTACGCATTTAAAAAAATAGATGTATCTCGGAAAAAACTTAATTCAAAATATTAATTGTTTCCAAAAAAATATAGAAAAGCGGTGAAAGTATTATTATTGAATTAAATACTATCATACGTAAAAAATAGGTTTTATTTTATTTTTTGTTCAGTTATATTTTTGTAATTTACTCATTAAAACTAAAGATCTTAATTTTTGCCATCACACAAAATTTGTGTCACAAATGTGGATTTCTTTTTCAATTAGTAGTAAAAAGTAATTTTTATTAAAATTTCAAAAATAAGACCAACAAAATAAACCTTAACTAAGAATATTTTACCAAATAATTTCGACGCGTTAAATTGGCTCTCTAGCCCACTGCGTGGCGCCTTTAAAACATACAAATATTCCCGCCAATCTCAACGGATCATAAGATGCATTTAGTTTTTGTTTATTTAAGCAAAACCATATTATTTCTTTTTTAGAAAAAGTAATATACAATTTATGAATATTTTAGTATAAAAAACCTATTCTACAAAAAAATGTTAACTTTTTTAAGATCGAGATTCAATACTAAACTCAAAAAGCAACCTATTTTCACTCAACAAGTACTTACAGCAGCTATGACAAAATAATTGGCCAATATGTCTTACTAAATTGAAAAAAATATATAAGAAAAAGCATGTGATAAATGATACATACAACTATGAAGGCAAACTAAATTATAAGCATTTATATTTTTATGAACATTGCCATTGGCGTAACAATAGGGTGACAAGACTGGCAAAATGCCAGGGCTTTAAGCCCAAGGGGCCCCCAAGTGCTCCGATTTAATTATTAAATATTTTAAGCACAATTAGGGTTTTAATGAATTTGTATTGCCCTACTATAATGAAAAGGATCGTCTTTCTTTAGTTTGTGCACACAGTAAAATCACATAGGACATTGCTCTATGCGCAGTAATTTTCCAATTCGCTGTAACTTATTTTACAGATTTACTATCCCGCGTAAAAAATCACAGGCAAGATAGTAAAACTGCTATCAAGATGCACATGCATGCGCAGCGACTTATAAGTTTTTAGAAAACAACGTTTAAATTGAAGATTTTTCATTACTTTTAATATTTTGAAGAGGTACATAAGTATTATTACATAAGTATATTTTTATAAAAGTATTATTTTGAACAGCCCGCGTGAAACTCGATGGGATGAAAAAGTGAGGTAATAATGTCAAGTAATCAGAAAACACTTTTAGTGGAAATGTTGGCTTTAAAGCCAATATCATGATTATCCCAACCAAAGAAACATAAAAAGTTAAAAATATTGCCTCTAAAATTTTGCCAAGGGCCTTCTTACATTGTGTTGTTACGCCAGTGGACTTTACTTTTGTACACATATATTTATTTAACTAGGAAATCGTCGCCTGAGTTCCACAAGGTTTCAAGTACATTTTGGTGAATTTTACAGTAGAGCAACTTTTATAGTTTGCATTAAGGTAAATATTGGTATGATTTATATTGCAACAGTTTTTGAGTGGAACAGAGTAAAATAACCTGTATAACATAAAAAACCTAGGAAAATTCTAAAATTAAGGCTGAAGGACCCCAGTCGATGGCCTTTTGTATATTTTGTATTTTATTGTTCTATATGTACTCAATATGCAATAAAAACTTTATTTCTAAAATTAAAAACTCTAGAACATTTTGAAAACACTGCAAACGTACTTGGAACCATGTAACATTGTAACCTTACCAAACAAAATAATATAAGGCAATTTATAGTTCCTTGAACTGGAATTTGTAATTAAGTGAATAGCAAATTAAAATGAGTAAAAACTTAAGAAACTAACATATCTAGGCGGTAGTTTTAGTTAGCAATAAAATATGCACTAAAGAGGGGTTACCCAATGATCTCCCATTTCTCCATTGCTATACTACCCATATTGATATTTTTCAACAACTCAGTATCAGTAGCGTGCCGTGGGTCTAAGGGCAGAGGGGGCGAACTTTCTTAAAAACAACATTTTTTTTTTATTTGATACAAAATTGTCAACTAATTAGGGCGCAAAATGCGGTCTGCGCAGAAGTCTGTGGAGAGCTTGCAAATCTTGATAAACCAAATACAAACAAATCCATCTGGACCTAAGTGGAGGAATAAATATGAATATGGCAGAATCTATCTACAAAACCATTTCGGTACCTTAGAATTACAAGGTTTCAAGTGCAGCTGCATTGTTAAATGAAAATGGCTTATGTACAGTATTAAATATTGCAGATTAGGCATTTTTCCTTAACATGACAAGTTGCACTTAGAACTTTGTCATTCTAAGGTACCGTTTTATTCAACTGTCGAAAACGAGCCCTAAATAATATAACAACGGCGGAAACAACAGCCCTAAGAATAATTTCCAAACTCCGCCATCCACACAATTTACTTAAAATTGAAAATAAAGGTTCCACTAAATTTGCTGCCAAGGAACTCAACATCAACGGTTGATGGCCTTTTGTATATTTAGTATTTATACAAGGATCAGAATTTGTGAAACCAGGAAAATGTTCTATTTGACCACAATATTTATTTTTATTTTATTGGAAAATATGGAAAATTGTTTCGAAATGTACAAAAAAATCTTTTTTTACAATAATTTATTAAATTTTAGCCCGTATTACAGTCTGCAATTCTACGTTCAATACGCAATAATCTTGCACGAAGGAATGCGTATAAAGACGTTTCGTGCAAGTCTATTGCCGTTTAAAAATATCGGTCCTGCTCGATTTTTATTGCCAGATGCATGAAAGTCTGGGGGAAGAATTGGTAACTTTTACACTTTAAATTTCCTAGAGACGCTGGTTTGTTGATGTCATTTGTATGTTGTTTCTTTGTATTCTAAATTCTATTACATAATAGCTTAGTTTAATTTTAATTTTACTGTATAATATTTTATAAATTTTTATATATTTTTTTTCAGTTGGTATCATGCAAGTTGGAATTGCAAACAAAGTGTATTAGTCAGCAATAAAACTTGCATGCAAGAAAAGTTGCTGCAAGTAAAATTGCAGACTGTAATATGGGCTTTATAAAGAATTTTTTTTTTCGTGTTCTGGACCTATTATAAATGTGGAACAAATGTCACTTCACAACAAGTCCGTAAAGAAAAATTCGAGCGGCAATTACTGTATTATTGTTTAGTGAATTAAAGTGTTGATAGATATTTTTTGTATTATTGAGCAGCATTATTTTAATCATAATAACCCAAGTGTTGTGAAGGGACTTTTTTTTAGATTTTTAAAAGGTCCAGACAACGAAAAATATTGGTTTATAGAACGTTTAATAAATTATTAAAAAATCTAGGGGTCACCCACACCTGGGAATCCCTGGACATTTTAGAGGGGGAATACCATAGGAATACAATAAAATAAAATGGAATACATGGGAATCCCTGGACGTTTTCCCTTTGGGTGGTTGACCCCTCGGAAAAAATTAAGTTTTTGCAAATTTTGTAAATTTTAAACAATTTTATTACTTTTAATATGCCAGTTTTATAAAAATCGACTCATTGGTTTGAGAATGGCTGGATTTTTTAATTTATAGCAATTTCATTAAAAATTAAATATAAACATTTTTTATTATGATCAAATAGAAGTTTTTTCAACATTTTGACAAAAAACAATGATGCCATTTTTATCATGCCGATTACACGAAATTCTGACCCAAAAATGGGATAAATTTATTTAATGCATTAAAAAAAAGGAAGTTTCCTAATTTTGTGCTTCATGATATTAATTCAACAATTCACATCCATTAATAAGAAAATTATGTGTCACTTGGAACCAAATGGAATTATCCTGCCTTATTGAGGTCAATACCAAAGATTTGCAAACTAAACTATGCCGATTTTTTTTACATACGTTGTTGACACCAACTTGGTGTGCTTATCTCAATTTTAACCAAAACCCTACAGGTGGAACTCACGCGACAAAATACAGAAAAAATAAATAATTTAAGCATTTTAGTTATATACATAAAATTAGTTGTCTTAAAAATTTACGATAATAATGATGAAACATTTAGAATGGTAAATTAATAAAAGCAAAATTACTTACAGAAACATCCATTTCATCATCGGCATTGGTTAAACCATTAAGGATGTCTGGATCTAAAGGCATTTCAGGCTTGATATACCAATAGTTATATGAGTTAAACAATTGCAAATTATCATCTTCCAGTTCATTAGCACTAGTATTTACCTGATTTGCTTCTTTATCATTATCAATATTTAATGGAATATCTGTTTGGCATTTATCAACATTCCTATTAACATCACTTTCATTGTTTAAGACATTATCATTGTCTACATTTATATTTTTGATATCTTCAGTAAAAGTCTCTAATGAACTATCTAAATTATCACATTGTTTAATATCATCATTATTTATCACATTACCATTAATTAATTTAGACTTTGATTCAGGGTTTTCTGTTCGGCAACTAAGTACTGCATTTTTTACTGTTTCAACTATTTCTTTGATGTCTGTTTCCGAATCTGCTCTATCATATAATAAGTTTGCCTTATTTTCATAATCTGACAAAGCTGCTTCCTCCTTAGTGTCTTCATCGTCATAGGAATCTTTGGACATACTAAACAAATCTTTCATAATAACAGCAGCATTTTCCCTGTCATTCGATGATAGCAGAAACTTGTTTATCAAGTATTCCTTCATTCTACAAAAAATGACAAATAAAACAAAATGTAAAAATTAAAAAAAAAAAACTTACAAAAATTCATTTCCTTCATCATTCACCAAAACCAAGTCTCCCACACTGTTGTAAGATACTTTGGTGACTGTCGGATTGGCAAAGGTGGAAATAAATGGCCCCAATGTATGAAAAGCCGATAGTCTCACCCATCGACATTCGTCTTGTAAAAGCTTAACAAAAGCAGGAGCGAGGATTGTTTTCCTGGCCAAAGGTGTAGAAGCGCAAGAAACGAACATGATAACCTCCGCACTAGCTTTTCTGACGGCCCAGATTCCATCACCACACAGTTGAATATAAGCTGGGAGCTAAAATTAATTGGAATTTATTTTTGTCCTGGAGAAAGGTAGGAACTACGCAATATTTGTTAAGTCAGTATGACGTAATTTTAACTTCAATTTTGTATCAGAAGACCGTCGTCAAAACTCATCACGTTATTTGATAGTAAATTTTTACTTAAATCTTTTTCTCATAAATACAGAGCGTTTCATAATTCACTACCAAGATTTTAAAGCCAAAATAGGAAATATTTATCTTATGCCTGATTAGATGGTGTTTTTATATATATCAGTTAACCAACCCTCAAAATTAATTTTGCCATTTTAAGGCAACAGAGCCCTCAAAGAAACAGCCTGTGGCAAATTTTCAGATTTGTATTGATTTTTTTTCAGTAATTTACCGAAATGTCGTAAAATGCATTTTTTTCTCAAAATAATTTGTAAATATTTAAAATACCAAATTAAATTTTTACCAAAATATCAGTTTGGGAAATTTTAAATAATTCGTCACATCAATAATACGCCCTTAAAACATTTGTAGTGAACTTTAAAACATCTTGGAGAAATGGCTTTGAAAACAGTTATTAGAAACACGCCTATAGGCGTGTATTATAATAATTAAAATAAATCCTACATACATTTTTCAAAGTTAAAAGTACATTTTTGTAAGTAATATCATAAGGGCATCTAATTTTTCCGAAAAAAATCGAAAAAAACACAATGCTAAGTAATATTTTTTAACAAAATGAATTCGTGCAGGTGCAAAAATCCTCGTCTTCGACTCGGATTTTTGTTGCCACCAGCACTCATGCTTATTGTTAAAAAATATTACTTAGCATTGTGTTTTTTTCGATTTTTTTTCACAGGAAAAATTAGATGCCCAAATGGTATTTGACAAGACTATTTCATGAGTAACAGTTAACAATTAAAATATAAATTGCAATTTTTGGTGACAACTGACCAGTGTCAAGTTTTGCCGCGGGTAAACTCGAAAAAACTGCTGACAGGTGCTGTCATACAGTTTTTCCACCTAGAAACCATTTGTAATTCAAAATTGCGCGTTTGTGATTGGTGAAAACTATGACGAGGAAAATAGTCGATTTTAATAAATAACTTTGGAAAAAATAGACGTTTTTGGACAAAATTGGATTTGTTTTTTTAGGGTGGGATAATTAAATTTATTAAAAAAAAATAATGTGGGTTGTAGAGGGCGCTGTCGGCGACACTTTGCATCCGTTGAAATAGTCACATCTTTTGGCGACTTATTGTATTCACGTTTTAATAAAAATATTACTTTTTTCATCCTTATTACGCAAAAGTGTACACCTTGTATTGTAATCGTTTTTGAGAAATATTTAAAAACGTAGAATTATGAAAAAAAAAATTACGAATTTGGGCACTAAATTTGTAGCGTCTTTTAATGTAGGTATTTTTTTAATCCTAACCAACTTTAAAAAAAAATATTACATTTTTAAATCACAATTAAATGGGTGCATAATTTAAATGCAAATAAATAGTTACTTACAGAGACATTTTGAAAATAAACCTTTTTTACATTTACATTGTAAAATAGTAAGTAAGTAAGTAATTTTTTTCTTAAAAACGTGAATACACCAAGGCGCAAAAAGAGATGTGAAATTGAAACTTATGCAGACAACCTTCATTAATTTTAAGCCTGAAAAAACTCAATTATCAAATTTTGTTCAAAAAAGTCAGTTATTAATTAAAACTGAACTTTCATATTTGACACCCTGGATCTTGGTAATTATTAGCTTTTGTATAGAAGTAGTAATTTGTTATATCACATTATTTTGGTCTTTGAAATATGTGCTATTATTTTGGCATTTCAGGGACACCTTTTTACTAAATAGAAAAATATTTTAAAATTTTTATAATTTGTAAGGCTTGTTAAATTTATTCTAATTTTTTTAAAAGCATTTTAACATTTTTGCGTCATTTAAAAATATATATTTTTAGGGTTAGTTGGCAAACTAAACGAAAACGGGTATTTTTTAACTATTAATAAAACAAATACCTGCCTTGAAATTATTTGCAATTAATTATATATATATTATATGTACTTAAAGGTCGTATCTGCAATATTTTGTAGTAAAGGACAGAAGAAAATTTTAATTTAAAAAAACGATAAAAAATGGCTTTTTTGCTTAACTACCAAATATTGCAGATATGAAGTTTTGTCTTCGAACGGCAGTTTGTGGTAGTAAAGAAAAAACTTTATTCTTTATTGTTTTTAAAAATTAAAATTTTCTTCTGCCCTTTATTACCAGATATTGCAGATAAGACTTAAGCTTAACACGGCAGTGTATACCTTAAAAATGTTTAAGAGCATAAAATAAATATTTTTAAAATCCATATCTAGGTATATGTATTGTGTAAAGGGGTATATTTATACAACCCTTTTACAAATTTTAGTTTAGACAATAAAAATAAACTAACCAGGATTTTTTCAATGGCATCTTTTCCAACTACAGCACAAAAATCTCCAATGTGTGATGAACAGACTTTTCTTACTAAAAACTGTTGATGTATACAGAGTTCTGCAAATCTCTTCAAAAATACTCTTTCAGTAACATCACGTCCAAGAAGAGGTGCCAATTTGCACATTAACTAAAAATTAAAATAAAATGTTTTATTGTTTTGTCAAAAAGGTATTTTGTAATGTATATTAAAATTCTTACTATAATTTGTAGGTTATGCTGAACACTCACGCTCATCAAAGCTGGCTGTGATATGAGTCAAAAATACCATTTCACATCCTGCTGATAAGTGCAAATAAACAGATTTCTTGATTAATCTCTAGGTTAATGAATTCATCAATATAAGTAAAATGTTTTAACGCTCATCAAAGCTGGCTGTGATATGAGTCAAAATACCATTTCACAACCATTTGATGAGCGGCACCCCATTCTAGAATTCATAAGTCTTAAAAAAACACAACAATGATGAATGTATTTACATCCCAACTCGTCAAAATGGCTGTGATACCTTTTAAAATTGGATTCACAGTCAAGTTGACGGGTTGCAATGCTAACAAGATCTTTACAAAGTGAGCTGGGTTTCTGATGATAAATTGTGCAACCTAGCTCATCAAAGTGGCTGTGATATCTTGATAAAAAACAGAATTCACAACCAAATTGATGACAAGGGTACACAAATAATAATACTTTGATAGTTATTCCTTAGTTGATGGTAAATTGACTCAATAATGCTCATCAAAGCTGGCTGTGATAGAACTAAATTATCTAAAACCTCCAACTTTAATGAGCACCAGCAGGTCAAATTTTTTCCCTCCATATAATACAAAGCATTGTCGTTAATTTTAGCCTCTTCATGAAAGACAAGGTAGTGAGACAACAAATTTAACATCTCACTACCCATGTCTTTCATTAAGTAACTAAATTACTGAATATTATAACAAATAAACAATTTATTATAAATATAGTTTTATTAACTTACTGTAACTGATCCTGTAATTACTTCGGGCTCGCATTTGGATAATGCAAGAATTGATGGACATACTCGAATCTCTACTTGTGGTTTATTAATAAATCCTTGTTCAATTAACAATATCAACGCTGATTGGGCCGCTTTATCTACTGCTGCATCTTTAAACCCCAAATTTCCAACTACTAGCGGAATTAAATATTCACTCACAATATCCTTTAATTCACTACAATTGCATTCTGTAGCTTGTAAAGCAATATATGGTACTTGCTCCAATAAATCTGCTTTCAGCATAGACTCTGCAACAAAAAATAAATAAAATATATTATATAAACACCCACAAATAAAATAATAGGTAGGAACGTAAAATATTAGTTAAAAAAACAATTTTGCGTTAAAAAACTAATGTTTATTTACATTTATATAACCTATTTCAGAATAGATAGAAAAAAAACGCGGTAAAACTAAAAAAGCACGCGGTTGTACCACCATTTTGATTTACCCGAAAATATTCTTGCAGGTTAACCGGAAATGCTTCTAGAAATTAAGCGCCAGTTTATATTTACTCGGCGTACATAATGCACATAACATACCTTGCAAGTCACTTTTTCAAATTATACAGACTGTTTTAAAATTCATCACTTTTTTAACGTTTTTTTTTAGAAAATAGCAGACAAACACGAAGCGTTGTTACAGCCATGCTGTGAAACTACTTGATGGCATTGACACCGTGGCGCTTCGATCGCGGCGGTAACAACCGGCCGACGCGGGATCGTTGAACGCAGCGTTGCCAACTCTACCAACTTTTCGGTAGATCTACCAACTTTTGATGTCTTGCTACTTTGCAAGAAAAATCTACCAACTTTTTAAGTTTTTAAATTGTTTTAATCAAAACTCGGTCAAATTAATAATATTGGCTTGGGTTTTTTAACCTTTTTGACCTTTGATGAATTTACCAAATAAAAAAAGGCGATGACGCACAAATGTTTTCTTTACTGAGTGTGAGGAAATTGCTTGCGATTCCACACAGTAGTGTCAATGTTGAGACTGTTTTCTGCAATTAATTTATTGAGCAAGCTACACCTCTCAAAGAACATTATAATTTATTAAGTCAAAATATGTATTTTTTTAAGAATAAAATAAGAAAATAGCTAGACCTACTTTTTTCTTATATTTTTATCCTGATAACATTTAAAATCCTCGAGCCAATGAGATATTTCGCATTTTAAACTATTTTTTAGAAAATTATGTAATTCTACTTTAATAGAGTACAAGATTTCTCTAGAATTCTCAAAAAATATAGGAGGTAGATCTAATAACTTTTTAAAGTAAGATTTGTTTGAAACAAGTAACTTTTAAAATCATATCTTCCTTCTGGATAGATTTTGGGTTGGCAACACTGGTTGAACGTACGTAGTACACGCCGTGCCTGTCTGTTTCATTCAAGTTTGCGCAGCACCGCCCAATGTCTGCTGAGCCGATTAACACGCTTTTTTTATCAATCCATTTTAATTTAATGGGTTTTATTATTTTATGGTTTATTTGACAAGTTTTCTTAACGAATAAAATCATCTTTTATTATTCGTACCGAGATATTCTTACAGGAGGGAATTAACTTGTAGGTATTGCATAAATAGCATAGCAAACATTTTAATGTTGAATAAACTGAGTATATAAATTTTGAAATTAAAGCAGACTATGAAAAAAGTCGAACGTACTCACAATATTTAGATATGAAACAGCTGAATAGTCAAAGGCCACATTTTATCAATGAAGACATTTATGAATGAAATTATAAAAACACATTGATGTACAATTTGTTTACGATATTAACAAATTTGATATAAAAACCGAATGATCGGTCTAGCTTGCCGGATTAAAATTTTTAAATATCTCACGCCTTACTTTATGCAGGTAGGTTTAAGGTTCTTGGTAGGTACAAATCGGAAAAGGTGTCAAGGTGTGCTTTTAACTTTTAAACGACAGGAAGCCAAAAGTGCGTGGGTCCACTTTTGTAACGCGCGGAGGTTGCTTCTCTATCGATCGACCTACGACATTTTAAACTTTTTTTTATTAAACCCTTTTTAAAATGTTATGTTTTAGCTTGTGCTTCTCTATTGAAAAAATCAGGTAATTTTTGCAGCATCCTCCGTATTCTCCTGATTTTTTTCTTTTCAAAACTAAAAAAATTGTTCGCTGGGTAGAAATATGTCTCAAACGTTGAGCAATGGTTATATTCTAAAGGAATAAAAAACTAAAAAATAGTTGGAATATCTGAAATATGTTGAAAAATAAAACTTAATTTGGCGATATTTTAAAATTTTAGGGTGAAAGAAATTTTAGATTCAGATACCAAATTAATGTGGAACATTGTAAATTGCATTAAACCAAATATAAAAAATATGTTCAACTTTTTAAATAATATCTAATTATGTATCTATTTTGTTTCTGTTTCGTATGAAGGGTGTGGTGCGCGTAAAAAATGGTTGTTTCCCGCCAAAATGTCGGTCTAGGAGTGTGACGTCATTTGGCGTAATAAATAATGATTTAACAGTCGGGCTTCCAAGAATTATACGTCGGTGGCCCTGTTTTAAGCTGATCATTTAAAATCTAAATATTAAATGTTTTATTATTTAAATACAATTTTAACTATAGGTAATTTTGAACAAAATAATGATTGGTTTATATTTAAAATATTTAATTAATTAAATAAATTGATAGCGCACGAGTTTGGATCAGTACATGTAGCAATTCAATGGTGTTTATGTCATTGGCTCATATTTATATTACTTTCCCTTTATAATAGGCGTTCCCCTTTAATGAAGCCGTTTTCCCTACGGTGCAAAGAGAAGGCGTCGCGTCGTTTCCTCAGCCAAAAGGAAGTGAAACTACACGGTGACCCTTGTATCTACCTATACCCACTAAATTAAGAAGCGTTGTTTAGAATACACCAGACAATTTTTTTTAATACAATGGGGTTTGGACATGTTCAAAATTAGTGGAGAATAGTCACTAAAAATTACCATACCGTCGGAAAAACAGATTTTTGCTATAAATTTTTCCTTCAAAATTACTTTAAAAATCGATAAATTCTCTAAGTAGCGTGACGTCACGATAGTAACCCAGCAAACACAGGCAAAGTGCCTTTACTGGCCAGTTTAAAAATTGCCATTTTACTGGGCAGGCAAAGAGCCAGGCAACATTCTGCTGCTGGACCCGTATACTGACACTTTAGTGTGTTTGCTGGGATAATATAAATGGTATATTGGTAGACAATATATTAAATAATAGGCGTGTCAAGTTAAACGAAAGACGTTTCGCTACACAGTAGCTTCTTCAGAATTCTGAAGAAGCTACTGTGTAGCGAAACAGCTGTCAAAATTTAATAAATTTCGTGAAACTTTACAACAAAATTGTTTTTATATCTACATAGTTAATATGGAGTTTCATCAAGTAAAGGTCGAAACAATTAATAATTTAAACGAAAGATGTACCTAAAAAATAAAAAATCCTAACATAACCAAATTCTTTGAGAGTAATAATCTTTTTACTTTTTATAAAAGTTGTTTTTAAAATTTAATGTTTGCACATCTAGTAGGTACTTTTCTTCGGTTTTCAAACGATCTAAATATTTTAAAGAATATTGAACATAACCTAGAAACCATGCTAGCTGGAAACAGTCATTCGTAGTTTTTGACAAATCTGTTATAAACTAGGATTTTTATAACTAGTCCGTTACGTCATCAAGGAACGGACATTTGTATTGTATTTACACGATGCAGCAAGCGAGCGATGGAGCCATAAACGTATGTCAAAAAACAGGTTTTTGACATTTTATATTGATGACGTAACGGAAAAGGTATAAAAATCCTAGTATAACATCGTGACTTCACGATCCACCCTCAAGGTCATCAAAGCGTTTTGAATCTTCAGGTTTTCGAAAAACTGTAGCGTTCTCAAAATTTGTTTGAGAAATGTAGGAAATTATATTAAAAAACTTGTATGTGTAATTCCAAATAAGCAATAGAAAAGTTGTATGTCCAACCCAATTGCGATTTAAAAATATTAAAATCTATGAAAATTTGTTTTTAAAGAATGGCGAAAATAGCCAGCCATTTAAATAATTTGTGAATCACCTCGCAATAAATAGTGTTGTATTTATAGACCAGACACCCTACGGTATTTATACTTAGTTATCCGTCTGGAGTCCCCTTCCAGTCTGAATTTTAAACCTGATCGACATTCTTGACTGTACAATAAGTTTTTTAGTGATTTAATTAAAGGGGTAGAATCTTCGTAATGGTAGTTTAACCAAACATAAAGGTTGATTCTCACAGAACCTTTAAGGTTAATTCCCACATATAGTGCCATGCCTATACCTTCCCGTATTAGCCGCGGGCATGCTTCTATTAAACATTTGATTGAATCAATTGATTTATCTGTACAAGGGTTGGAATGTTTCATTACACATGTAGTGCCAGGTCCGTTCTGTGCCTGTCATGCCGTTTCGAGGTTGCTTCTCGATTGATTTCGGGAGCCGCGGCTGTCTCCGACCACGATAACGGAAAGAGCACGGTACAAGCACGGCAATAAATGTGATGATCAGCCTTTAAGAGCGATACGGTGGTGGGGTTAGTGATTACGCTAGGTAATATGGCAAACATATTTCGTGACGTATAAATAAACTACCGTTCCAACGTATGATTAAGTTACGTATAAATATATATATATATATATATATATAGTTTTAAATCAGTTTATAATTACATTAAACGTTAAATTTTTAGACATACAAAAATCAAAAAAATATAGACAGACATTTTTATAGAAGACATGACTAAACAGTAACGATTGAAAATCAACAAAAAACTCACCAACAGGTGTACCCTTAACGATATCTAAAAATATTAAAAATTTATTATACAATTTTAAAAGAATTAGGTAACCTACAACGTATAACATCGAATACTTTTATTATTATATTTTAATATGGATATTATAAAGTTTAAAAAGGTGCCTTATACATACAAAGTTGTGGATGATTTTAACGTTTTTTTCGTTAGGTCTTTGAAGCTCATATATACAGTGTGTCGCATTTAAGATGAAGACACCCCCATATTTTCGCTATTTCAAGGAATAGGGATTTGAATTTTTTCACATTCATACATGTTGGTGGGTCACATTTTTTAAGATACTCAACTGAAATCTGAACTTTAAACTTGGCCTACTACGAATTCACAAACGGGGCCAGTTATCGATATTTTGCTTCGCGTTAGAAATATCGAAAAAAAATATTAGAAAAAGTTGTTCAGAATATTATTCTTACCTCGTATACCGATTTTCATAACAAAATTCGCATTTCTAATTTATTTATTTTTATTAGTTTTATTATTGTTTTATACCATTTTCTTAATTTAATAAATTATAATTGATTATTAATTTCCAAAAATTGTTTTAATTATTTATTTAACGGTCATAAACCTGTGGGTAAAAGGCATAAGGGGATAAGTAAAAATAGCAAATTTTCAGTAGAGCCTTAAACGTATTCGCATTAATTCAGGAAACATATTTATGGTTAGCGGGTATACCCTTTTGTTAGCCCATGTCCTATGCTAACAAAAGCGTATACCCGCTAAACATAAATATATTTCCTGAATTAATGCGAACACGTTAAAGACTCTATTGAAAAATTGCTTATTTTGACTTATCCCCTTATGCCTTTTACCCACAGAAACACTAGTTAGTATCAAATTATTACTTTCCATGGCTCCCTTATTATCAAACTAAAAAATGAACTTGTAATAATTTTGTGTGGACCAAAATAAAAAAAAATTAAAAATGCGAATTTTGTTATAAAAATTAGTATATGGGGTTAGAATAATATTCTGAACAACTTTTTCTAATAACTTTTTTCGATATCTCTAACGCAAAGCAAAATATCGAGAACTGGCCCTGTTTGTGAATTTGTAGTAGGCCAAGTTTAAAGTTCAGATTTCAGTTGAGTAGCTTAAAAAATGTTACCCATCAACATGTATGAATGTGAAAAAATTCAAACCTTTATTCCTTCAAATAGCGAAAATATGGGGGTGTCTTCATCTTAAGTGCGACACACTGTATGTATATCAGGCAATACTTTCTTTGAATGTCGCAATATTTTACAAATCTTTTTTGTTTTTGGTTTGTGGAGTTTCGCTAAAAGGCGAGTGCAATCTCCTATTTTGCCAATAGTGCGATTTTGCGAGAATATTATACTACCGCAAGAAATTTAAAGCAAATTTTATTTAATTTTATCTGACAACTGTCAAGCAGTTTTAACCTCAACTTATTTTCAATTTAAACGTAAAGCTAACTTCAGCCCGTGGATAAAAGCACGAAAGCATGCGTACGATTAAAACTACTAGCCGCCTTACACGAACCAAGTTTCAGGCAATATAAGCGTGTCAAACATAAATCAGTTAAAATATCAAAATTACATAACGAAACTAGGTTTAAAGTTGTAATATAATATTTTTGAATGAGGATAATTTATAAAATAAAAAAATTGACTCGACGCATGCGTACAATTCAAAACTTTATTGCGAGCGTCTTGCATTGCCTGAGAATTGCGTCGTGTTAAGCCGCATTACACGACGCAATTAAGAGATCAAAATTGGACTGAATTTTTATTTTAACAGTATAGAACAATGTTTTTCTAATCCTATTAAATATCATCGTTTTAACATCACTTTTTAATTTGGAATTACATTTACTCCTTAAAGTGTTACAGAATGAATTATTCTATCATCGGATAACGGAATAAACACTGGTGGCGCCATCTCTATGTAAAAACTTTTAGACCGATCCAACCTCACTTTCTTCTAATTAAATTATGATATTTTATTATGATATTTTTTGGAAACGTAAAAAAAGTAGTCTGAAACACATTTGGAATTTGATATTTCGCTTTCGTGAAAACGTCAAACTAGCCTTCGGCTCGTGTGAAAAAATTTTCTCTCGAGAGGAATATGCCGTATTCCAAACTTGTTATAGAATATACTATTTTAATGGGTAATATTTGAAGAAAGCGTTCTATAATTTAAGCTTTTTTATTGTCAATACTCACTTCCAAAGTATTCGATTATCTCCTAGGCTATAAAAATAATTTAGACCAATCAAACAATTACAAAATATGTTTTCCACAGGCCAGGTGGTCTGTGATGTTTTCTTTAATTTAAGAAAATATTAAATATTGCAAAAACTACATTAAAAGTAAAAACTGACTTTTACACTTTATACGCTCCCAAAGTTACTTGCATATAGATTGTCCCCAAAAGGTAAAGCAGGTTTTTAATATTTTTAAAATAAACTTAAAAACTACTTTACTTCACAAATTAATCCATGGATATCTGTAGGGAACTAATAAAAAGTAAATAGTATATATATCACAGACCTGTTGGTCTGTGATATATATAGTTTTTATAATAACGTAAAATGTACTTGAAAGAAAATTTTTATTAAATAAATTTATTTTTTCAAAAAATTAACAACAGCGGGATTACATTATTTTATAGGAAGTTATCTAAGTTTATGATTCATTTGCAAAACATTTTAAATATTCAAGTACTTAATTAAGATTTTACTGCGCAACTACGTAGATAATAAGGAATTACAATAACATTCAAATGGTTTTTCAAAATATAGGAGTGGTATTTTTTTTTAATATGGTGTATAATACAGGGTGATTCTTTAATATTGCATCAGGATGAGTTCTTGCATAAACATATATCTAATTTTTCCTAATATCGGGAAATCTTTATATTTATTTTATTTTAATTTTTTTGAAACAATTTCCCGTTTATAAAAAAAATATTGGTCAGCTTTTGATTTAATTGGATTTAATTTAATTATTTCAGTGGCATGCACGCCATGGCGTCCCGGGGGCATTTCAGCTGTTATTTTTGGAAATAATAGAATATAGCACGTTAATGTTTTTAAATCGTTTTGATATTTGTTTCAGATGAAACTATTTTTCGCATCTCCATTTGTTTCAGAGTAGGTATACTTTTTTCTACTCCTATTACGGAATATGACTTTTTAATTTGGAATTACATATATTCCTTAAAGTGTTACAGAATGAATTATTCTATATTCGGATGACCAAATAAACACTGGTGGTGACATATCTGTGTTTATTGTCTAACAACTTTTAGACCGATGCAACCTCATGAGAAAGTGCAATTTCTCCTAATTAAATTATTTTTCTATAGTATTTTTTGTACACGTAGAAAAAGTATAACACAAGTGAAATTGCATATTCCGCTCTCGTGAAACCGTCAAACTCGCCTTCGGGTCGTGTGACAAATATGAAGTATTCTAAACTTGTTACAGAATATACTTTTTCTACTCCTACGGAATATGACCGTTCTAAAATCACTTTTTAATGTGGAATGACATATATTCCTTAAAGTATTACAGAATTAATTATTCTATCATCGGATGACGGAATAAACACTGGTGGCGATTATTTTTTTATGGTATTTTTTGGAAACGTAGAAAAAGTAGTCTGAAACACGTTTAAAATTGTTGTATTCCAAACCTGTTACAGAACATACTATTCTAGGTTTTCAAAAAATATTATAGAAAAATAATTTAATTTTGAGAAAGTGAGGTTGGATCGGTTTAAAAGTTGTTAGATAATAAACACGGAGATGTCGCCACCAGTGTTTATTTTGTCATCCGGTGATAAAGGTAATCAAGTAATTCTGTTACACATTAAGGGATATGTAATTCCACATTAAAAAGTGATATTGGAACGGTCATACCGTAATAGAAGTAGAAAAACAAATTTATCTTTACACTTCTGAGGTCCGGTTTATCAATGTCCAGTTAAAGTTGCAGTCAGTTATCTGGTAGATAATTTCCATGGATACCATTGTTCTCACAACGATCTATAAAGAATTTAACTGTCAGATAGACTAACTGGAACTTAACCAGAGATTAATAAACCGGCCCTGAAGCAAGTTAAAAATTAACAGTTGTCCGAATAGCGTTTGCAATTTATTTAAGATTCGTTTTTGTGTTTTTAAGTGAGTTTATAAGATATTTTGTGTAGATTTTTGATAAAAATATGGTTTCCTGAGCCGTTTGATGTTGTTTGCAGTAGATGCGAAGTGGATAAGAAATCTAGGTGGATAACTTTTTAAAGGTTAGTTCCCCCACTTATGTCAGCCATTTTTAACAAAATTAGTAAAAATGTCGTCTCCTCTATATTCTATCTTAATTTTTATCATAGCGCGACCTGAGAATTAGATTGTTCTATCTCCCAAAATTTAAAGAGGAACAAATAGCAGTTTAAAGTTTAATTTATATACAAATGAAATTTTAAAAAGCTGTTTTTCCGTGTCAGATTTTTAAAAGATAGAATCTCCAAAAACCTAAACACACAAAAACAGCTTTTTAAAATTTCATTTGTATATAAATTAAACTTTAAACTGCTATTTGTTCCTCTTTAAATTTTGGGAGATAGAACAATCTAATTCTCAGGTATTAGGTACATTTTGGGTAAATTTTGCGATATCTGTCAAATTGATTTTTTTAGTATAATAAATATGTATGTATAATATATACATTGTATATATGGAGGATCAAATTAAATAATTTGACTTTAAACTTCTAAAGAAATAACATTAAATATGACTATGAGTAAACATTAATCCTGGAACGTTGCACTGAATAATGGGTCATATATATGTATGTGTATGCTCAAAAGAGGTACTCAAAATATAAAATATTTTTTTAAAAGTTACTTATAATGTTTTCAGCCATTTCAAGTTACTCGGCAATTTTTGTCAAGTCCGAAAGAAAAATAAATAAAAAATTGTGAGTAAAACTACAGTAATTATTAAGCTTAAGCTTAATTATTACAAGCAAAAACACATGTTTGCAATAGTATTTAATTTAATTAGTTGGCTTTTACTTACGATTTTTGATAATGACGGACGCTACAAAAATTGCCGAGTAACTTGGAATGGCTGTTTTGTTATTTTAAGGGATTTTAGATATTATGAAAAGTCGTATATTTGTATTTATTTTATTTAAAAAAATTGCCAAACTCTATTTCGTAAACGAAGCGTTTCCGGAAACTAGTTACCAAAGTTTTTTTATTTTGATGCAAAAAATTTCATTTTAAAGTATTAAATTAATTTAGTTTATAACTTACCATTTGCTATTTCTGTTAAAATATCCATAATGGCTGGCAAATCCTTTATAAGGCTGTCGGCCGGGACAGTTCGAAATAGTTCTTGTACCTTTCTGGCAACCATTTTTCTGTAAAAAAATAACCACATAAAAAAACACGCAATTACACCAAACAATTTAAAGTAACATATAATTTACACTCACGGCTAATAATAACCCCCTTTTCCAATTGGGCATTGTTGGCAAGGTGCTTAAACACATCGCAAAACCACGTGTTTCCATAAACAAAACGAAAACAAGATGTTTGTATAAGATTTGGCGCGAAACTGACCTATGAACCTAACCCATGCAACGAAACAACGCAATTTCTATGCTGAATAACATGCGCGCGCATAAGGTTTACCATTGGCGGGAACTAAGCATCAATAATACTTTTACAGCGCCGGGGTACGACCATGAGAGTTTCATTTCCACGAAATGCGCCCGAGTATTTTGAAATGTGGCGTTAGGGGTGTCGCAATCTAAGAAATTTGGTGTGAATATGTTTTATTTTAAAGTAATTTGGTACCAATTGTATATGGCACAAAATTTAACACCATAAATACATTTATGCCATGCAAAATCCTAGATAGATAAAATTGTTGTTAAAAATATAAATTAATAGTTAACAAATTCTTTTTTCAGAAAAATGCATCTGCCAAGCGCTTTGCTATATTAGTACTACAATTATGGGTACTACTTTTATAGGACTGCACTTTTTATTTTTATTTTAAAAGATTTTTATTACCAAAAGAATTTTTTTTAAACTTTGGTGTGGGTAGATGCATTTTTTGCCGGGTGGTCTAAATTATAAAGCTATCACTAAATGGGCGGGAAAATATACTTTTTCTACGAGTGTGCGCAAAGTTAAACTTCGCTCTACTCTTGATATCCCCGAAGCCACACGTTGGTGGCGCGCTGTGTAGTCCCAAAAAAAGTAATCCGATATTTTCAAATGCCACGATTCCATTTACAGAGCCATTTCTTGCAATTATTGACTTACCAAACATTCCGGGCAGTTCATTGCAATGTGGCGAGTCTCAATTGGTAAAAATATTTTTTTTAAATAATTAATAACGTTTTCTATACAAGAAGAATCCTTTCTTATTAAAAAAATAAAGAATCGATGTTGCCTCCATAACTAAACAGTTATTCTTTACAAATGTATCGCCTATTTAGCAAAAAATTCGCCAGAAAACATGTATGAAAAAATGCCCCCTGGCGGAGCTATGGGCCTCTGAATTCAGAGAGTTGGGGATATTTTTTTTCTTAAGCATAACATAGCTTTATAAATTTTAAGTAAAAACTGCCAAATTTAATCACCTTTTTTCGGGGTTAATGTTTTACAATTTTTTTCTAAAATTATAAAAATTCAGAGCTTTTCACTAAAAAAGTTAGCTTTGATTAAAAAAAAAATATGGGTTGCTACTAATATTAAATAAACATAATAAAGGTACAAAAACTCCCCACATTTTTTCCAAGTTAATTTTTTTTCATTCACAAATTTATAATAATTTAAAGCGTTTTCCTTAAAAAGATACTTTTGATTTGCATTGAAAAAATGTGCATAATATGAGATGGGCCCCTCCCAAATTTTACCCCCATGATTTAATTTTGACAGTTTATAGATTCAGCATGTCAAAATTAGCAAAGTATAAAAAATTAATTTCTATAAGTTCGACCCTTTAGGAATACTTTGAAGAAAATCATTATTTTATTTCCCTCTTCAGGGGGCATAACTCCGTCAAGGGGCATTTTTCGATAAATGTTTATTAAATAAACTAGTGTTTTTTATGCAGATGGCACTGTTTAACTTGAGCCCCCTTGAAAATATATTATATGAAAATGTGAAGCATACCTACTCCATTATTGCCGATTTGAGATATAATTTAAATTATTTATTTATGATATGAAATTATAGATTTATTTGTTTAATTATATAATTTAATTGTAATTTTTTAAGTAAATATGTACAGAGTTAGCAGTGCACTTTTCATGGTGACTAAAAAACAACATTAAAAGTTTATTTTATTAGGTTTAAAAAAAGGTTTGGGAAAATGGGAAAAAGTCGATAGTAGGTAAATCCGGCGACTTCGCGGACCGAATCTAAAAATCAAACGACCGGGAAACATGTTTTTACAACTGACATTGAATTAAGGGTTGTATGAGCCGTGGCACGATCATGATGAAAGCAAACATGATCCACATCCTATAGAATATATGTTTATGGCGCATATTTCATCCTCATGGAAATGGCCAACTTTCTCAATCGTTGAACAATATTTAATACTATTTTATAACTATACTTTGCAACTTATAATCCCTAAAAGAACAATAGCCACCAGTCGCTAAAGATTTAGCAAATGTTTCAAATATAATAGTTAATGTCATTGGGCCAAGAAGTGTGTATTTTTGTGCTGCTCAAAATTAAAGGGCATACCTATAAAATTTTATCTTCAAGTTAGGTACATATAGAGATGTTTTTTTTGTTTTTTTTTAAAATAAAATTTTGAGTAAAATGTATATTAATAATAAAGTGGAATATAGAATATAATATATATTATTACATTTTTCATTATTGAAAATTTTGACCGAGAAAAATCTGATTTCTTATTATTTGGTATACCAACTATAGTTTCCACATTAGAAACCAATAGCAATGTAAAACTTCTATACTAATACAAAAAATTAAAGGATAACAATTTTTTTTGCGATTCTTCGGATAGCTGTATCTTTGTTAAAAATGGTCGTATTGGAGCCGTAAAAAAAACAATTTGAAGCTTGAAGTTTCTAGTTTTGAGATTTTTAGATGAAAAATGTGCAACGCTCACTCCTAACGAATACAGTAATAAAAAAAACGATTTTTTTGGCTTTCTGGTCAACGGAATGTTCTGACTTAACCACAAATGTTCTACAAGAATTTGCCATTGTTTTTTTGAAAAAAAATTCCATACTCTACATGAATTTGAAAAATCATGCGCTGAATCAAAAATATTATATGTAGTTACTTTTTTTAGGACCAAATCAAAACAAGCGCGGTCCTTATTGTTCAATTCGGTGGTGGTGGCGCGTGCATAGCGCGAGACTGTATTTACATTTACTAATTGTCATTTAGTGACTAATTTTAGTCCATGAACGGGACTGGAAACATAAAAATTAGGCAATTGGGACTAATCTTGAAAAAAACCTAAAATGTGAAAAAAAAACCATTTGAAAAAAACAATGAAAAAAAAACCTGAAAAAAACGGACCTTTTTTTTCAAGTCGCATCTCTAGGTACATAATATTAATAATAAAATTGTTATAAATATATTTATACATATATATATATATATGTATGTATTTAATACATTGTATTGTAAATGCAAGATAGGTCTATCTACCTCCTCAAAACTAAACGTTTATTTTGACATTTCGTAAAAAAATTAATATAATGGGCCGTAGAAAGTTTTCCGGTGTTAATATATTTTGTTAAAAATGTCAAAAAACATTAATAAAATGTCACAATTTGCAAAGTCTACTGCGTCTCAAGTTGATCGCGGTCGGCCATGTTAGGATCTTTCCGCGGGGCGGAGTTACGACAACCAATAAACGAAGCGATACTTGCAAGCCGCTTACTTTCTTCACATGATAGGGTTATACTATATTTATATGTATAGCAATATTACAGCGCAAATTGTTTATTGATATATTAATGTTGATAGTTTTTTTCTTACAATTAAAAATACAGGTGGTTTTTTACCGCATAACTTGATATTAAATAAATTGTATACAAAAAATTTGGAAAAATTAAGGAATTTTTCTTTGAAAATTTTAAAATTGGTAGCATATAATTTTTCTTTAAAATAATTTTACCTATAGCTTATAATTTCCGGTCGCAGCAGCATTTTAAGACATAAATAAAAATGTGCAATAAACCGTAGATCCGAGCGTAGACCTTTAATAGGTTGATATAATTCCTATATGAATGGCATTAAAAGCAAAAGGGTACAAGTGCATTTTAGCATGAAAATAAGGAAAGAATTGAGTAATTTATTCCATTATTTTTTTATTTTTCTCATAACGTGAAAATTGTACGAGTTCTGCATGTTGATTAATGCAAACAACAATATTGAAACAAGTTTCCAGATTTTTTTATATAGCAAAATCTTTAAAAGTTAATAACTCCTCTTCTCTTTTTTGAATTTGTACCCTTTTGCTTCTTACCCCTTCATATATAGTCTGAAATTAATTATCTCAATTTCTTGACGAATTAGGTATTAGCTTTAATTTAATATAAATTAAAATTTCTTGGTCGGTACCGTATTTAAAACCAAATCCAATAGGGATGGATTATGGGGTTACCAGGAAATAACCGACACCCTGGGGGAGTTCAGTGGTCTTTAATTGCTTCTGTTTAAGGGAACAGTCGTGGCAATTCTGTATATTAATGTGTGACTTTATTGTTACAATAAGCAATGTTTCCAAGCTGTCATCGTCATTACAAAATGCGCTGGCGCTATTACCTAATTTTTAATATTTGTTTAAGATTCCAGATAACTAAAAAACCTGTTGTTTAGATAATGTAACTAGTGTTGCAACGGTTACGGTTACGGTTACGGTTAATTCACGGTTTTCGATATTATACGGTTAACCGTAACCGTATGTCGTTAACCGTAACCGTATTTACGGTTTTTCATGCTACTTTGTGAATGCATGTAAAAAAAAATTGAAGAGTAATTAACGTTACCAAATATACCACCTAAGTCAAATCCGTTTACATTCTGGAAAACGTGTTACACGTTTCGGCGTTTAAGAGTGTTGGCACTAAGGTATTATACAAACCATTGTCAGTGAATTCGGAGAGGTTGTTTTCGACTGCAGGTCTTGTGCAAACACCAAATAGGAACAGGCTGATTCCGCAGAATTTGCAGATGTTATGTTTTTTAAATAAAAATTTGACTCGTAAATTTTGAATATTAACATTTAATTTTTTTATATTTTTAAATATATTATTCAGGTACCTACTTAGGTTTTACTTTACTGTTTTTAGGTTTAAAATGTAACTCATTTCCTATTGTTTTACAGTTTTATTAGAAATTCTGTTTTTGT